CACTATAAATGTTTCCCTTTGGCCTTTTTTTTTTTTAAATCCCTGCTTTCTCTTCCACCCCCAGAGATGTGGGGTGAAAAATTTTCTAGCCCTTAATTTTTCCATGGGAAATTTTCCATTTCTAAAAATTCATTGTTTCATAAAATTCATTAGTAGCAATGAATGGATACCAATACAATATTAGGCAAGCTCGGCAGTTTCAAAGTTGTAATTAATGTTTTTCAGACGATTATCCCTAGGAAGTGTGTGAGTACCATATATGTTTTATTAATTTGTAAACAGGAGGGTAAATACACTCAAATAATAATCCAAACCAAAAATCAAGTATGAATTCACCTAATTGGCTATGCAGGCCAAATCAAAACCAAAGCTAAAATTCTTATTTAATTTCAGATTAAGTGAAAGCAAAACCAAAACTAAAACTGTGACTAATTTTTGTTTCACTTTCAGTTCAGCAAACAGAGAGCAGTGTCTCATTTCTTTTCTTGAGCTGGGGAAGCTGGAAGTGTTTGCATAAAATCTGTTAGTTTTTTTAGTGCTTTTGGTTTCAAGCAGCCATAATAATGCCTAAATCAGAAAAAAATGAGTGTGTGGGGCATCATTATAGTGAAGTTCAAGCCACTGAAGGAAGGAAGAAAGTTGGTAGATGTAAATATTGCAGACAGGAGTATGTTGACAATGCAACAAGAATGAAGAAACATTTAACAACATGTAGAAACTGTCCTGAAAGAGTACAAGCCACATACAGAAAGCTAATACAATAACGTGGTGGAACATCATCATCTGAGAAATCTCTACTTCAGGAATCCTATGCAAGTAAACAAATTAATATGTTAAACAACACACAGTACAGACTAGTATCTATATTGTTTTAAAACATTATAATTTTAAAAGTTAATGCAACTCTGGACTATTGTTTATTTATTTAAAATATTTGTATCATGCTTTTCTGCTTGCACTAAGCACCCAAAATGGCATACGGTTAACAATATAATTTTTAAAATTACATAATAGATCAATAGTTAATTATTTCAACCCAGCAGAGCAAGCTTAGTCCTCTGGCTGATGGCAGAGGCCAGACTACACTTCCCTTTGGCTCTGCAGTCCCAGGGCAACTAAGTAGCAAGATGAGCATCAGAACGTTCTTTCTGGCATTGGAGGGGGGGAAGCAAACTCCATGTCACTTCTTCTGATGGCTGAAGCCAGACTACAATAGACTAAAATAAAAATCTTTGCCCCCTTTTGTTGCAGGAACTTGGTAGCTCAAGTTAAATAGCAGATTTGCAAAGAATGGAATATTAAAATGTTGAGCTGCCAGGTCTCAGGGAAGCAGCAGCAGGATCCTCGATTTCAAGATAACTGTCACCAGATATGCAATCCACCATGAGTAGCTGTTCAAGACAGTCAAGCTTTTTATCAAGCTTTGTGGACAAAATGTCAAAAGAAGAGCAAGAAAAAGCAGAAGAGACATTAGCTCGAGCTATATTTGCAAGTGGTACACCTCTTTCCATAACTGGTAAATCAATACTGGAAGGAACATTACAAACTAATTTGCCTATAAGTTACTGTCACGTTATCACTTATCACATTTTCTCTTAGATAGAGGGTATGACAGAGTTCAAGCAATGGTTACTCAAAGGACTGGTCAAGCAGAATCACCAACTCTAGTTTCATATGCATGGACTGATATACAAGGAAAGCCTTTATTGAACATTCTGTTAGCAACACCTGAACCAATATTCCTGAAAGCAACTGCTACCAAATTTTCTTGTCATACAGGTGAATATGTAGCCAAATTACCAAGCGAAGCAATTGAAAGTGCACGTCCCTCCAGGGTACAAGCCCTTTAACTAATAATGCGGGCAACATGAAAGCTATATGCCAAATATTAAAGGCAAAGTGTCCTTATTTAATAGTATTTGGCTGTCTTGCTCATGGGTTGAATCTTCTAGCAAAGGACATGGTAAGTGTGAATACAATAAAAGACAATATTGGCAAACTGCAAAGCAATTGTGAAGGTATTCAACAATCATCATGTTGTTAATCAGACTGAAGAAGCTACAGAAAGAGAAGCAGGTGAAGGAAAGTGAACTTTTATTGCCAATAGAAACTAGATGGGGCTTGGCTACCAAGTATTTACATAGCTTGCCGCGCACAAAGAACTGTTTGTGGTGTGCTACAATAGATGACACAGTATCCCAGATTATTTCCATGAACTTTCGGAAGCAGATTCTTGACAGTGATGTGTTCTGGGTTCAAGGAGCATTCAATTTGTTACTACCAGTTTTGGTGGCTATCAAGAAACTTGAAGAAGATACACAAAGCCTTTCAAATATTCTAGTGATATTCAGACAACTAAATGAAAATCTATTTGAGCTTTTGCCTTCTTCACCTTTATCCAAAAAAGAAGTAAAACAAGTGTTTACTACAAGACCTGAGTTTTTGCTCTCATCCAGTTCATTTGGCAGCAAACCTTTCGGATCCTCAACACAGAGGACAACATTTTTGAGAAGATGAGTTATCTACTGCTCTTGATACTATTATGGAAGTAGCTAAGAACGTCCCCAACTTTGATGAAATAGTTGTGATGGCAGACATTACCGAGTACTGCACAAAAGAAAAACTTTGGAGCAAATATATCATTTGGCAGGAAGCAGAGAATGCGTCTCCTCTCACGTGGTGGAAGGGATACTGTAATACCCGACTGTTGTCCAGGATTGCTCTAAGGATCCTAAGCATTTCTCTAACATCAGCTTCTTGTGAATGGAACTGGAAGACTTTCAGCTCAACCAAGACATAAAAGAGGAACAGACTAACAAATGAGTGCACTGCTAAACTTGTTTGCGTCTCAAAATCTTCAGCTGCAGTAGTATGTCCACTTTTGGGTGCCGCACTTCAGGAGGGATGTAGATAACCTAGAAAGGGTTCAGAGGAGGGCCACTGGTCTGGTGAAAGGCCTACAGAAAAAACCCTATGAGGACTGACTGAGGGACCTGAATCTCTTCACCTTCCACAAGAGAAGGCTGACAGGTGACCCTGTGGGTGTCTACAAACTCATCGGGGGTGACAGCAGGAAATAGGGGATACAATGTTTGCCAGGACGCCCATCAGGGTAACTAGAAACAATGGCCACAAACTGAAGGAGAGCAAATTTAGACAGAACATCAGGAAAAAATTCTTTACAGTGAGGGCTGCCAAACTATGGAATACACTTTCAAGGGAGGCAGTGCTGTCCCCTTCCTTGGAGGTATTTAAGAGGAGACTGGACAAACACCTGGCTGGGGTCATCTGACCCCATTCCTGCCCAGGGCAGGGGGGTCAGCCTCAATGATCTAATAAGTCTCTTCCAATTCAAATCTATGAAGTACATGCTATTCTGTATTGTCTTTATGTTTTTATAAGTATTCCAATACAAATAATTTCCTTCCACATACAGCTTTGAATTTGAGTATAACATTTATACCACATTAAGTGTGCTGTATTTAATTTTTTTCAGTTCAAATACTTTTGGCTATTGGGACATAAAATTAACATGGGGTACTTTTTTAGTTTTGTTACTAAACAAGTCAAATAAATATGCCAAATCAGATCATTCTCTAGTTAGGGCATTGGAAAAATTTCCCAAAAACCCATGTCTCTCCCCGCCTCTCCTGCTTTACCTTTTTGTTTCTCCTTTTTACCTATTCAGATTTACACTACATCCACTCACACTTGTAGCTTCTCTCATTCCTGTTTTCCTGATCTCCATCTATTTCCCTATTCTACCTTGTATTCTATCACTGTAATTTCTCCCTTTAGCCTTTTCTCCCTGCTCTCTTCCTCTTCCCCCTCCCCTCTCTGATTTACCCTTCGTCTTTCTAATTTCTATTTATTTATATTCTCACTGACATCCTGCCACACTTTTAGTTTCTCACATTTCTTGGAGTCTCAGAACAGCAGAGACTCCCAAATGCTTGAAGAAGGATGACTGCACCTGAAAGCTTGCTAAGAACTTTTTCCAACTACTCAGTTGGTCTAATAAACACATCTACTCAAAGAACCTTGCCTGCCTATGTCCTTAGGCCAACATGGCTACAACCAAAAACCCAGCAACATTATGATTTATCTACTAAACGTTCCTCAAGTGTAGGACACCAGAGGTCCTACTTGCTTCGTTGGTCAGGTCTCTCATATGGATATTCCACTACTGTGCCAAAAGGAACAGTGTTGCCATGTACATTAATTTATTTTGTTCTGGAAAGAGAAAAAAAAAATATTTCTACTAGTTATTTACCTTTATACCATACTCTTGAAGAATGCAAGTTTAAGTCTAAAAAGGTGAAGATGGTGAGGTGCAATACGCTTCTTGAAATTAATTCATTTTACAACAAAAGCAACCTACATCTTGATTCAAGCCTAACTATTCCATATTTACTGTAATCACGAAAACACTGTTCTACTAAGTTGCCTTGTGAACATCAACAATGACGGAAAATAAAAAAACATTTAAGTATAAATCTTGTTCTTCTTGTGGTGTTCACCCTTAGACTACTCTATGAAACAGAAATTCTACTTTAAAATCTCAAGTTTGAACACCTATTTTGCTAAATCTCTCTCTTAACTATCTTCAGGTACCTAATGATGTTAAAGCTTCCTTGCAAAATACAGTAAAATTGACCAACTCATACTTGCACTCTGTATTTGCTAGAGATTATAAATTTAATACATTTTTAAAAGTTGACCAAATATTTCCAGGTTGGTGGTTTAAATTAGAAGCATACATATATCTTGTCTGTATCTTGTAAATTGCAACTGTAAACTAAGTTAGTTGAGATATATTGCATAACAAACAACAATGCTCAAACTTTAATACAACTATTGGAAATGAAGAGGGAGAAAGTTAAACAAAGATTTAGCTTGAATAAATGAGTAATGAAGCAACAACATCTCAGTTAAAAAAAAGTCATCTCTCAGCAGGAAGGAACAAGGAGAGCTCTTCATATTATCAATTTTGCACTTACCATTTTTCCGTTCTTTGAGGGGGGGTAAATACTGATTGGGCTGCAATGACAGTTCCTGAAATTCATGAGCAACTGCTTCACTATGAGGACTAGGAGCAAGGCGTGTTAATGATCCTGAATCATCCTCAGTGTCTGCTGTCCCTAAGTGATCCATTGTGTCCAAATGGCTGAAGAAAGGGAAAGCAAGTGGCCTCTTAATCACAGCAGGTTGACAAAACTGATAAGGGGGAAAGGAAAAAAAAAAAAAAGACATCAGGTAACCAAATGCAGATGTTCAGAAGGTAGAACAATTACTTAATGCTTAATGTGTTTCAAGGCCATCCAACATTCACCACACAACAAAATTGTCCACAACAACATTTTTTATACCAAATAAAAGCTGTACTGTGCAACTCTTTTAATAAGGCTCTGAGATGATGATTTTTGAACTTTGGTTCACAGATGATAAGTGCTCTACGTAGCTCTTGCTGGTAGTCTCCAGAAAACCAACAGGTCATATGATCATTACAAAAATCAGAAAATTAGGGTTTGAAGAGACCTCAGGAGGTCATCTAACCCAGCATTTCTCGACCTGTGGCTCATGACCCAAAAGTGGGTTGCAAGAATATATGAAATGGTCACAAATACACTTTAAAAACGGATCAACAAACTCTAAAAATGGAGTCTCCTTTAAAAGGAGAAAAAAAGTGGGAAACAATGGCTTTTCCCTTGCAGGCCGAAAAAGTTCCAGCCTGCAAGGGGCTGTTTGGAGCTCCTGGGCTCCCCCCCACCCCTTGCCCCATACACCCACCTCCTGCCCCACACACTGAGGGGCTAGAGCCTGGGGGTGGGGGGCACTGGGTCTGGACTGGCCTTGCGTGTTTACAAATAGGTCCTGGTACAAAAAAGGTTGAGAACCACTGATCTAGTCCAACCCCCTGCTCAAAGCAGGACCATTCCCAACTAGAACATCTCAGCCAAGGCTGTCTACTTTGGTCTTAAAAACCTCCAAGGATGGAGACTCCACAGCTTCTCTGGGTAACCTGTTCCAGTGTTTTACCACCCTCCTGATGAGAGAGTTTTTTCCTAATATCTAACCTAAAACTTCCCTTGCTGCAACTTGAGACCACTGTTCCTTGTTCTGTCATCTGCCTCCACTGAGAACAGTCCAGCTCCATCCCCTTTGGAACCATCCTTCAGGTAGTTGAATGCTGCCAGTTAATCTTCTCTGTCTTCTTTTTTCCAGACTAAATAAGCATATTATGATTTTTTCCTTGTTTTGTCTAAATTTCAAGAAGCAAACACTTAATTTCTTGCATATCACTCCCCCTCCCACCCAATGAGATATGTATCTTGTTTTTGGAAAGCAAAATGAAGAAAATTTGCTGCATCAGATATCGGCCTGATGGGGCCGATAAATGTCCGTGCTGCACACAACCGCAGTGCAGCACAGCACGAAGCAGAACCAGCAGCATGGGCAGGGGGCGGGACTCGATGACCTTCCGAGGTCCCTTCCAGCCCTAATGTCTATGAAATGCATACATCTAATATACATCTACTAGAGAGGAGGAAGACTAAGGACAAACAAACAATGGCTAAATAACATTATAAGCAATGTAATAAAAACACTGACTTTTTCATATCAGAGAATATTATCAGAGCTTAATATCTCTCTGCTCAATTTGACTAGTATGTTATATTAAACTAAAAAGTGAAAGACTGAATAAAGCCCATGATGAAGTAACATGCTTTTCCTGTGGAACCCCAAAATGGAGTTAAATTTCCATCCCAGCTATTTGAATGAGCTACTAATAATGACATACGCAAGAAACACTTTAAACTACATAGGCAGTAAAAAGGAGCATTTTGTTGCCTCAGGCTTACAGAAAACCTTTCCAACCAGTTTACCATGCCCCACAGGACAATATGATACATCTCTTCTGTACAGCTGAGCAAAATGGCAGCTCCTTGTTTTAAGAAAAATGTATCTCATATCAGTAATACCAGGCTGTCCTTTACTATCTGATAAACAAATTTAAATAGGTCCCTCTTTAGATTAACAACTTTGCTGATGTTTATTAAAACTACATAAAAACGTATGAGCTCTGACATAATTTTGCCATACTTTACATCATATCATGATAGCACTCCACTGGTGCTGATGCTTAATGGTGCCAGGCCTTACACAAGACACATGATACAAACATGGTTATAGTTTTATTATAAAGTACTAAGGAACACCATTCACACCTCTGCTTTGACCCATCTGAACATGTACTTGGAATGCCAGGTGGCACAGCAATGTGAAACACAAAAAGATTATTATGAAGATGGTCTTTATCATGCAAACATTAAGGCAACAGAAAATGAGAAAAGAACACAGAAAAATGCTTACCAGAGAAGTGAATAAAGCAGAGGACAGATAAGTATATAGCTAGGTAAAACCAATAAGGGAAGGAATAAAATGGGAGAAAGAAAAAAGGAAAGAGATTAACTAGTAGTTTTTAAATCCAGCTTTACAGCAGAAGAACAAATCAATAAGGGTTGTACAGATCATCTCTAGACAATTCCTGCTTTTTAAATCGTAGAACATTAGGGTTGGAAAGAACCTCAGGAGGTCACATCTACTCCAACCCCCTGGTCAAGACAGGATCACCCCCAACTAGATCATCTCAGCAAAACACTGTCTAACTGGGTCATAAAAACCTCCAAAGATAGAGCTTGCACCACCTGTCTGGGTAACCTGCTCTAGTGTTTTACTACCCTTCTAGTAAGAAAATTCTTCCTAAAATCTAACCTAAACTTACCACGCTACAACTTGAGACCATTTTTCCTTGTTCTGTCATCTATCACCACTGAGAACAGTTTAGCTCCATCCTCTTTCAAACCCCACTTCAGGTAGTTGAAGGCTGCTATTAAATCCCCACTCAGTCTTCTCTTCTCTAGACTAAATAAGCCCAGTTCCTTCAGTCTCTCCTCATAAGTCATGTCCCCCAGCCCTCTCTCTGTTTTTGTGGCCCTCCATTGCACTCTCTCAAATTTGTCCACATCCTTTCTGTAGTGGGGATCCAAAACTGAACACAGTACTCCAGATGTAGCCTCACCAGTGCTGAACAGAAAGGAATAATCACTTCCCTTGCCCTGCTGGCAACACTCCTACCAATGCAGCCCTGGATGCCGTTAGCCTTCTTGGCAACAAGGGCACAATGCTGGCTCATATTCAGCTTACTGTCCACTGTAACCCTCAGGTCCTTTTCTGCAGAGCTGCTGCCCAACCAGTCAGCCCCCCCAGCCTGTACTGATGCATGGGATTGTTCTATCCTAAATGTAGAAAAAACTTTTAAACCTGTGCCTGTGTCCGAATCACTGATTCACTGAATCAGCATTGAATCTTCAGATCTGGATTCGGCCAAATCAAATCAGGGACAGTGGATCGAATTGCTGTCCCTGATTCAGGTTGAATCTAAATTGAGGGCTCCATGGTCACCTCCCCTTGTGGGGTCTGCTCCCTTTTGGGGTCTCTGGCATGCCAGCTGGAGGAGCTCCAGGCCACAGTCCAGAGACTGCATGCCATCAGAGACTGTGAGCAAGAGATGGACTGCTACTGCCAGGTCTTTCTCCCCCGGGAGCCGGAGGGTAGACCGCCATCTCCCTCCAGGACAAAGGAGGACTCCGAGACCTCCCACTCTGTCCAGTCAGGGGCATGGACCAAGGTGGTCAAGGGCCCTAAGGCCCCTCCCCGCTGGAGCTTAGCAACAGGTACACACCTCTTGCTGCTCCAGCAGAGCCTGCTGAGTTGCCAGCTCCCACAGGCAACACAGGCTCAACTGCAGCTACCGCCCCTGCTTTCCCCAAGACAAAATGTAAGGTGTTTCTTGTGGGAGACTCCATCCTGACGGGTACTGAGGGGGTAATCTGCCGCCCCGACCCTTTAGCCCGGGAAGTCTGCTGCTTCCTGGGGGCCTGCATCTGGGACATTGTGGAGAGGATCCCTAAGCTCCTCCAGCCCACAGACCACTATCCCATGCTCCTTATTCATGTGGGCACCAATGACAGCTTGGAGCACTCCCAGCCGGGCCATGAGGCGCTACAGGGATTTGGGAGCAGGGCTAAAGGATTTGGGGGCACAGGTGATGTTCTCGTCGATCCTCCCAGTCTTGGGCTATGGGCTGAGGAGGGAGAGGAAGATCCACATAGTCAACCAAAGACTGCGGTGCTGGTGTCATCGGGAAGGATTTGGCTTCCATGACCGCAGCCCACTCTTTGGCGAGAGAGGCAGAGAGCTGCTGGGAAGAGATGGCCTCCACCTCTCTCCGCTGGAGAGGAGGCTCTTCTCAGCCAGACTGGCTGACCTACTCCACCGGGCTTAAACTAAGCCCGCTGGGGCGGGAATACCGCCACTGCTGGCCTGCTGAGCAACCCTTGCAAAGCCAGCAGGCCGAGGCACTTAAGGAAGCCCACCCCTGCCCCAGCCCTGGTACAATCTGTAGGCAAAGCAAGAGCCCCCAAGGAGACACTTGTTTGCCTGTATACAAATGCCAGGAGCTGGGGGAATAAGCAGGAGTAGCTCGTCCTTCTGCCTAATGCAAATAATTATGATGTCACAGGGATAACGGAGACCTGGTGGGACTCCAC